TGGGAGCCGCACCCTCGTGACCTCATCCAATCTAATCGCTTCCTGAAGGGCCCACCTCCTAAGACCATCACACTGGGAGTCAGGGCCTCAAAATATGAATCTGGGGGGGGGGCACAAACATGCGGTGCATAACACTCCCCTGCTGGCTCCCCAAATTCATGTCTTTCTCACCTGCAAAATGGAGTCTTTTGAGCCCAACAGCCCCATAAGTCTTCGCATGTTCCAGCATCGACTCCGAAGTCTCATCTATGTATCATGTAAATCAGGTGTGGGTGAGACTTTGGGGTACAGTTCATTCTGAGGCCAGCTCCTCTCCAGCTGTGACCCCTACAACCAGACAAGTTATGTGCTTCCAAAGCACAGCACGGGGCCCAGCGGAGGACAGACATTCCCATTCCAAAAGGGGAACGTCAGAAAGCAGGAAGGGAAGGAAGGTGGCAGGTTTGAGCGAGTCCCGGGCCTGGCGAGGTGGCTCCACCGGACCTTGAGGCTGAGCGTTCCCTTTGGTTTGACGTTCCGTCTCTCGGGCCCACGGGGGCGGCGGCACCCGCACAGCTTGGTGGGGTGGTCCTTCCCCCAAGTCTCCTGGCAAGGGCCCTCTGTCCTGTTGAAACCCAGGCAGTGGCCCCAGCACTCTGACTGGCATTCGGGGTCATGTTCCCCTCTGAAGAGCAGCACGTGTTCGCAGCTGAGTCGCTCCGTTACGCCATCCTGTCAAACCCTGCGAGTCTGACAGCCTGCCCTCGCTCCACCCTGCCTCTAACCCTTAGTGTAGACTGGCCTTCCCTCTGTGTGTCTCATCCGTACATCACCTCTTATTGTGCGATGGTCCAGCCACGCCCTCAGCATACTCCTCAGAGCCTGCTTTCTCCAGGAGAGGGTGTAGCTCAGCGGTAGAGCACGTGGCTAGCATGCACAAGGTCCTGGGTTCAATCCCCAGGAACTCCATCAAAAATAAATAAACCTAATTATCTCCCCTCCAGAACAAAGCAAAACAAAAAAATATATATTAAAAGAAAAAAACACGCTTTCTCACTTCCTGCAATGTGGATAGGCTATTTCCCAAATCTTCAAAATCTAGTTCCTTCTTGCTGAACAATTCTTCCTTTAATTCATCTCTCTTTTTGCACTTCACTGTAAGCAGCTGAGAGGCACCAAGACGTTCCTTCAGTACTTGGCTTGGAAATCTCCTCAGCCAAACATCCAAGTTCATGGCTCAAAATCTCTGCTTCCCACGAAACACCAGAACACAATTTGGCCAAGCTCTTGGCCACTTGTTAACAAGGATCACCTCTCCTCCTGTTGCCAGTGACCTGTGCCTCATTTCTGTCTGAGATCTCAGCGGCATGGCCTCTGACGTCCGTATTTCTGTCATGCACCTCAACTCTTCCAGCCTCTCCCACGACCCATGTCAAAAGCTGCTTCCACATTTTTAGGTATTTGTTACAGTAGCACCCCATTCTCAGTGTATGTACACACATACACACACACACACACGAGATTTTTCATTAGGTAGGCTGGGAAGCCCAAGATCTGAGGTTGTAACAACCTGGAAACACAAGAGGCGATGATGTAAGTTTCAGTCCAAAGCTGGTGGGCTCGAGACCCAAGGAAAGGTGATGTATTCCTCTGAGTCTGACGGCTGGAAAAGATCGATGTCCCAGCTCACAGTGTGGCAGCAGGAGTGCCTACCTACTCAGCCTTCTCCTTAGTCTGGTCTTCACCTGATTGGATGAGGCCCACCCACAGTGGGGAGGGCAGTCTGCTTTGCTCAATCTGCTGATTCAAATGTCCAGAAACACCCTCCTGGAAACACCCATGATAATTTCTAGCCAAATGTCTCAGCCCCCTGTGGCCCAGTCAAGTTGATGCACAGAATTAACACTTCTGCCTGCTTTCAGACCCTCTGGGTGTATGTGCAGAAATGGAATGGCTGGACCCTATAGTAGCTCTTATGTAGAATTTTTTTGAGGAAAACTCAACACTGTTTTCCACAGCGGCTGCACCATTTTACATTCCCACCAGCAATACACAGGCGTTCCAGTTTCTCCACATCCTTGCCAACCCTCGTCATTTTCTGTCTTTTGATGTTAGCCATCCTGATGGGTGGGAGTGAGTTTTGCTTTTGAGGTTTTGGCTGAAAGACAAGGAATGATTCTGGCCAGCTGTGCCCTAAATGGCGCTGGCTTATATGTTACGTGTAACCCTGCAGACCCTTCCTTCTACGTTCATGTCATAAATGCCAGCAAATTAGGTTGCCAGCTTCACAGGGCCTATGTGAGTCTCCCGCCTGGGGCCCTCACCCGTCCTTGTTCTGTTGCAGGGACCCATGATCTGAAGCCTGGGTCCCAGGTGGGTGGTCACCCTCCAGGAGGCTAGCAAACCCTTCCGCCCAGGTTCTAGCCCTGCTCCTGCCTCTGCAGAACCAGGGGCTGCCTCCAAAATGGCTTTGGCTTACCCTCGCCCCAGTGGGCCAGGGAGGGGGCTGCTCCTGTCTGCGGCATCCTTGGAGGGCCCTAAGCATGAGGTGGGGCCCACAAGTTGAAATCCATGTCACTTCCAAGGCAGGGGTCTGGGGTCCCTGGGTCTCCTCCACAGCACCGCAACCCCCCACCTGCACGTGGAGCTGTGTCAGCTGGAGTTCTCCGGGGAACAGAGCTGGCAGCAGGGAGATATATCTGTGTACATTTAAGAGAGTCCTTGTAAGGAGTTGGCTTGGAGGATTGTGGGGGCAAGTCTGCAGTCGGAAGGGCAGGCTGGCAATTCAGGCAGGAGCCGATGCTGCAATCCTGAGGCAGGACTTCTCCTCCAGGAAATCTCCGTTTCTGCTCTGAAGGCCTCCAAAGGATTGGGGAAGGCCTACCCACATCATCGCTGGCAGCCGACTGGTAGTTGATGTGCGTGTCTGCAGGCAGGCATCTGAACGCCCACTCCTTGGGGGCTGGAGATAGCTGCCTCTGGGCCCAGGCCTCCCGTCTGGGGCACCGTGAACACCAGGAGGCCTGCCCACGGGGGCCCCAGTTCAGATCTCCCCAGGGGGCCTGGGGCCACCCCAGGGACACGTGGCTTCACCTGCCTGGCTGCCTCCGCCTGTCAGGGATCACGAGGCCTTGTCGCTTCAGTCAGCGGCTCTGTAGGGCTTGAGCTGGGCCGTTTCCTGTAGGCGCTGGTCCTGATGCTGTGTGCACCTATCACTCCATGGGTGGAGCTTTTCCCGCTGAAACCGGGTGTAGAGCTTTGAATGCCTTTCTCAGGCTTCCCCCTCCCTCGATTATGGGGACCGGCTCATGTCCGATCAGAGAAACGGGCGCCCCTGCTCCCCACCCCGGAGGTGCACGTTGGGACCGGTCAGGCCTGCTGGACACAGGATGCTGGTGGTGGGGCTTTCTGGGCTTGGCCCCTTGATCTCCCCTCTGCTGTGCAGGTCACACCCGCCGTGGCCTTCCGGGCTGAGGAATCCCTCCCGTAGATTCTGGCCTCTGCGTGGTAGTGTGGCCAGGGCCCGGGAGAGGGGCAGGCTGGGGAGACGTGCCTCCGAGTGGGTCTGAGGGCCGATCGGTGATGTGGCTGCTCTTTTAACAATTGGCTCTGCCATTTATGAGACCGTGGATGGGCATGAGGGCGTGTGCTTCATGAAATCAGACAGAGAGACAAAGACTGTAGTGATCTCGTTGCTGAAATCCGGCCTGTGTACCCCACTTACCAAATTGAGACTTGAGGACAGAGCTTTGGATGCAGCAGAAAAGGCAGCTTTATTTCTTCACCTGGCAAAGGAGGTCACAGTGGGCGAATACCTCTTAGACTATTAGCCTCCTGGGGTGAGAAAGCAGGGGTTTTGTAGTAAAAGTTCAGGAGTGCAAGGGGCAGAGCTAGTTTCCGTAGAGATGGCGTACAGGGTAGCAAGTTGTTGCAAAGCCGCTCTTGTTTTTGCAGGTGCAGTGGTCCCCTTCCCTCTGCTGGGTGTGAAGGTCATCTCTGGCTTTGGGACTCTCTTAATATTCTTATTCCTAGAACAAAGGATGTGTGGGAAGCAGCTCCGTAGAAAAGAGCTCTGGAGGGAAACTTGTGCAGTTTAAAGTGAGGTTGATACATGCATTTAGTCTTTTAAGCAGCTGAGGCTGAGACCTGCAGCTCGAACAACAGGATAAAAGGAAGACACAAGCAGTCAAAAGCGACTGCAGATATGCAGTTGGGGCGAGTTATGAACAGCAAGATGCACAAAACAGCCAAATGCCGTTTCTGAGGTGTCAGGGTCAAGAGCAGGACCCTGAGCATGAGCCCTGCGCACAGCACCAGGAGGGGGTCGGGCAGACCACCCAAGCCTGCCTCCTCTCCCTCCCCACCCTGGGCAGCAAGAGCCTGAGAAATCCCCTTTAAACCACCGTACAGTTAAGCAGTTACAAACACCATTGCCGGTATCAGACGGGCACTGATGACAGTAGGGTCCTGCTCGGTTACGGTCTCACTTAGATGTGGACTCTGAAACAATCAAACTCATAGAAGAAGAGATCAGATCTGTGGTTACCAGAGATCGGTCAGGGAGGCGGAGGTGAAGGGATGGATGAAAAGGGTCGAAAGGTCCAAACTTCCAGTTATAAGAGAAATTAGCCCTGGGGATGTGACGCTCAGCACGGTGATGATCGGTGACACTGCTGTGTGGTATATTTGAACGTTGCTAAGAGTAGTAGATCCTACGAGTTCTCATCACAAAGAAAAACAGTCTTTGTAGCTGTGAGATGGTGGACGTTAACTAAACTTACTATGGTGACCATTTCCCAAAATGTCCAGGTCAAGTCATCATGCTTATTATATGCCTTCAACTTACACATAAACCTACGCAGTGCTGTGTGTCAACTGTATCTCAGTAAAACCGGGAAAAGAAAGGACTATCTCTTATTTAAAACTGAAGAGCTGTGGTTGGACTCATTTTGCTGTTACACCATCAGTGACGTCAGATAAGTTCTGCAGTCGGCACTTTAACGTGATTTCTGCTCTTGCAGGTGGCGATCATAGCCGGCAACTTTGAGCTGGCCGAATACATCAAGAACCACAAGGAGACGGACATCGGTGAGTAGGCTCGTCTCGGTTGAGCCCTGCTGGGGCTCCATCTTGGCTAACTGGTTAGATTGGTTCGGAGTGTCTGCTTTTGGTAAAACTTAACAGAAATCATAGTCCTAGCATCTCTTCTGCCTCTGTTCCTATGTTTCCTTAACTCCTGGCAGGGTTGGGGTGAAGGAAGACCTTAGACATTAGGCAAGGAAACTGGCCAGGCGGTGGGCAGTGGCTCTGGGGCTTGGCTGTCCATCCAGGAAGCAGATTACTCTGTAGCTAATTTAAGTGGGTTTACTGGAAGATTCGGTAATGTACACGACTCCATTTAAAATAAGAGATGGTGACTAAATGGGACAAGACTGGCAGAGGCATCCCCTCACCTCCCTCCGCCCGCTTCCCTCCCACCGTCCCCAGCGACTGTGCTGATGACCGCTCCCCTTTCTAGTACCCCTTGTGCCAACCAGGAGGACCGTCCCTGGGGCTCCTCTTCTTTCCCATCGCCCTGCCAGCGGCTGGGCCCAGTCTTGCATCTTGGAAGAGCCCGCTGGCCTGTTTCCTCCAGCCCCGGGCTTACACAGGACCTGCAGCGGGGAGCAGTCCCACTGGACCAGCAGCGGTGAGATTTCAAGGCGGCGCCGTCCCATCTAGGGGGTGGGCAGCGGGGCTCCAAGGCGCCTGGAGGAGGAGCCAGATGGCATCTGTGTCTCACCACCTGTGCCCTTCACCCCGTGTTTGGTGTTGGGGGGCGTGCGGAACTGTGCGTTTGGCTGTCGAGTCTTTATTGTGTCGGATGTGTGGCTGGCGCCCACCTGCCTCTGGGAATCGCACAGGGATGCAGAGCCAAATGCCTTGCTTGCATCATCCAGGGCCCTGGGCCCAGCATCGCCGGGTGCTGACACGGTCCACCTGTGAGCTGGGGCCAGTCACTTAACTGCTCTGAGATCCAGGCCTCCACCACGGCCTCATCGGCATCTCAGTGAAACGCATTAGGGAGATTGATGAGTTAACGTCCGCAAAGCGATTTAGAAAATGAACTGAGCTCTCCGAGTGCCAGCCACTCTTCCCACCACCTCCCTAATACGGGAGAGCAGTACAGTGGACAGGGCTGGCCTGAGGTCTAAAATACCGGGGGCTGGGAAGGGAGTCGGAACGCCACGAGGCGGGGCAGGCAGCAGAGGAGAGCGGTGCGCGGGCCCTGGGCTGCGGGGCTGTGCGCGCTGGGTGCCCGTCCCTCTGCGCTCCAGCGATGTAACTCGCTTGCGGCCGCCCTAGTTATGTCCCCGGGCACTGCCCTTCCCTGGGGCCCGCACGCCGAGGCGGGACGCGAAGTGGCTTCCTTCCCCTGGCCTGCGGATTGGAGCTGAGAGAAGCTGGGGGCTCGGCGCCCTGTCCCCAAGCCCTGCCCTGCAGACTCACGCCCCTGCCTGCCGCGGCCACTAACCCGTCCTGCGCAAAAGCTGCCCATCTTAAAGCCCCAGGCCGGGAGGTCCTGGCTCGTCTGTCCCACTCTGAGGTATAAGTAGCTCCCCTCTCTGGGGTTCAAACACCTCTTTACAAGCAGAGATTTTCTTCTTTTGTTTTTTAGTTGAAGTATGATTGATTTACAGTGTTGTCTTAGTGTCTGGTGTATAGTGTAGTGATGAAGTTATACACATATATTCTTTTTCGTAGGTTATTACAAGAGATTTTCTTATGATGAAAGTCATACTGTTTGTGGGGTGAACACATTTTAGTTACCACTCTCCCGAGCTGATCAAGGATTTATTTAAACTGTGAAGGGCTTGTCAGGTCTTGAGGCAGGAGCACTCACCACGGACGTGTGTGCCTTTTGTGGTTCACGGTGCCAGACTGAGGTTCGAGGCCCTCGTTCTGTATGTTTGTGGGTGCCCTCGGGCTCAGTGAGGGTGCGGGGTTGGGGGAAATTTTACAACCAGCGAGTCGGGGAGTCCAGGCATCTTGTCCAGCAGCCCGCCTGCACTGTGGGCTTTCCGCGGCATGTCCCAAAGGGAAAAGGTAGTCCGGAAAATCTGCTTCCTCGCCAGGTCCTTTCGGCATCGCCAAAGAAGGAAAAAAAGAGAGAGAGACCTCTTCTTTCCTCTGAGTCGTCTAAGCGTGTGTGATTGTGAACTAGCAAACTGTGCCGTTTAGGGCGATTCTGCTGAAAATTTCCCAGAGAGGCAATGAAGAGCGTGGAGGCTGTGGGTCCTTTGTGGATGTGAGAGCATCACTCAGTGTGTTCATTCTTTGAAGTAAACCCGTCACAAAGACCTCGATTCGGCGTGGTGTTAATGAAACCTCTGACACTGAACCTGGTCGTTCGCTCTGCGCCCTGCGGCCGCCCCAGCTTTGCTTCTCCCCTTGTTAGTTGAGTGTGTAGCGGGGCCAGATGTTGAGTGTGTGGCGGGGAGAGTCTGGTGCCATCCCTGGGTCCAGCCTGTGTGTTTATTTGCCCACAGGGGTCTCAGTCTGCGTGCAGCTCTGTGCCCGCTGTCTCCGAGAGCACCCTGTCCCTGGGTGAATGAATCATCCCAGGGAAAGAGCCAGCACTTCCTGAGCCTGCATGCCCAGCACCTCGCCTGCCAGCAGCATCCCGTCCCATCAGTTCCCCAAGTCCCGGCGCAGCTGGGGCCTCAGGAGGCCTCGCTGATGACGGGTGCAGTCTGAGAGCTGCCCTCTGGAGGAGGGATTGGAGGGCAGGAGGCAGGAGGACAAGTTTCGGGGTAAAACCACCTCCACGGGGCCACCAAAGGGGAGAATTCTGACTGTGAGACCTCAGACGTTATTAACCCCAAACTTTGGCACCATTGTCCCCTGGCTCCTTCCCATCCCGAGAATTCCTGCCTCCTGAGAAAAGCCGTCTGCTTCTGGCTGCAAGGGGGCGTCCTCTCCCCCCACTGTGTCTGATGCTCCCGAGAAGCCTTGGGAGGCGTGTGAACTAGCAGGTCCTAAGGGGGCTGCTCTCTCCCCTTGGCCACCATCTCTCCAGGACCATCTTCTCGGTGCATCCTCTTCCGTGTGGGCCCCAAGCTGCTGTTGGGATTCAGAAACGTTTGTTCGTCCCAGGCCTGGCCCTTTAGGAGGTGATGACACAGAGAGTGATGTCCTCCTTGCCTCTCTGCCCCCTGGGTTCAGGAGTGGTGTTGAAAGGACTGCAGACCCCTGTACCTTCCAAGCTGGGAGCTGCCGGTCAACCGCTGTTCCAGGGAGACCGGTGTGCACCTCCTCAGAAAAGCACACTCCCCATTCACTCTGCCTTTGATGGCATGTCCCCACCACTTCCCCATGTCCCAGTCCCCAGGCGCCCCAGCTGCATTTTCATCCCCCACCCGCATCCCCCAGCAAGCCTGTGTTGCCGGCATTCGGTCCCCAGTCCCCTAGATGGGGGACCCGCTCCTAGTGTTAGAGCAGGCAGGTAGCTCGATATGAGCAGAGAAAGGGGGGCGCAGGCCATATGGCAGGAAACCATACACCGGGTGAACGACGGGGGTCCTTGGACAAACCAAGAAAAGCGGGACTGATAAGAAACCATACATTCTGGGTGGGCAAGCGTCCTGGAGGCAAAGAAAGGTGGGACAAGACAGGAATCTCCACCCTCCGATTCGTTCGTGATAGCTCCATCTGAACATAACCTTTTGTTCATCGTGACCTCACCCAACTTCCCAATCAAGGCTAAATAAGGACAGAACATCTGTCCTCCCCTCGGGGAGGTGGAGCTGGAATGAAGGTCAGGAAAGACGACCCCAGACCCCTCCTCGACGATGAATGTTCTGCCCGGTCATTTTTCATACCCATATAACCAGCCGTGCAAGAAACAGGGCAGCTACTCTGCTGGGTCTGCCCACTCCTTCCTTGAGAGCGAACTGCCTATCCCTTAAGAAATCCTTGCTTTGCTTTCTTGACATCCAGTCTCGTTCCTGAATTCTTTCTGCAACAAGACCAGAACCTTCTCACCAACAGCACTGTTTCTGTCCCTTCCTGACTTGCCATCGGAAACCCTCTGGCTCCCCAGCCCCCAGCAGCGTGTGCCAGGTTGGGTGCCTCTGGGGAGCTGCCTGCAGAGAGCCCGACCCAGTGGGTCTGGGGCGGCCCCTCCAGTGGTTCTGATGCTGCGTGTGTGAGCCCCAGCCCACCTCTGTTTCCCAGGACCCTCCAGGACTGCCTGTCCGCCCCCACCCCAGGGCGCTTGCTCACCACGTCAGGATGGGGCCACCGTAATGAAATGTCACCAACTGGGTGGCTTCAAACAACCAAAATATATTCTTTCACTGTTCTCGAGGCCAGAAGTCCAAAGTCAAGGTGTGGGCAGGACTGGTTCCTTCTGGAGGCTCAAGGGGAGGTTGGACAGCCTTCTGCTGGGAGCTGGAACCTGGTTGTACAGGCGCCACGCTCCTATCTCTACCCCCGCTTCACACGACCGCCCTCCCTGCTTGGGGTCTCAGACCACCTCTCCTGCGTCCAGTATGGACGCCAGTCTTTATGTTTAGGGCCCACCCTCAGTCCAGGGTGATCTCGTCTTGAGATCCTTAAATGAATCACATCTGTGAAGACCCTACTTCCAAATAAGGCCCCAGTGATGGGGTCCAGGGGCAAGGACCTGGACGTTCGGTCCACTTGGTCTTTTGGGGCTGCTGTTCACCCAGGTGGCTGTGTGACTGTCTCTCTGGGCTGTTACCTTCGTAAAGATGGGTGGAGTCTGCCTTCCCTGCAGTGCCTGGCGCATAGTGGGGCCTCAGTAAATGTC